TGCTGGGTGTATGCTCGGCTGTTATGCGATTTTGCTGTTATGCGATTTTACCACACTCGCAAAATTGCACACAGCCGACCATATAACAAACTCTGCATTTTGAGTGGAAATGTTAGGGGGTCGTCTTATACGCCCAGTCGTCTTATACGCCGGCAAATACGGTATTTGGCCTTTGTGCCTGGCTTCTTTCACTTAGCATACGTTTCACTTAGCATAAGTTTCAAGGCTCATCATTGTTATACAGCATATATCAATATTTTGTTCTCTTTTATTGCCAAATAATATTCTATTGTATTGATATGCCACATTTAATCCATTCACCAGTTGATGGACAATTGGGTTATTTCTACTCTTTGACTATTATGAATAACACTGCTATGAACATTATTGTACAAGTTTTTGTGTGGATGTATGTTTTCATTACTTTTGGGTGAATACTTATGAGTATAATTGCTAGCTCATATGATAACACTATTAAACATTAACATTTTGAGGAACTGTCAAACTGATTTCCAGTGTGAGAACCATTTTATATTCTCACCAGCAATGTGTGAGGATTCCAAGTTTCAACATTCTTGCCAACATGTATTACCTTTGTTTTTTGTTACAGCCATATTAATTGGTGTAAACTAGTATCTCATTGTGGTTTTGATTTATATTTCCCTTTTGGTTAATGATGTTGAAAATATTTTCATGTGTTCGTTGGCCATTCATATATCTACTTTAGAGAAATGTCTAATCGCACCCTTTGCCCATTTAAAAATTAGGATATTTATCTTTTTAGTATGGAGTTGTAAGTGTTCTTTAAATATTCAAGTACTTTATATATTCAGATGTATGGTTTACAAGTATTTTCTCCTAATCTGTGTATTGTCGTATCACTACCTCGATGGCATCGTGGGCAGCAAAACACTTTTAAATTTTAATGAAATTCAGTTCATATATTTTTCCTTTTGTTGCTTTTGCTGTTGGAGCCATATCTAAGAATATTTTGCCTAACACAAGGTCACAAAGTTTATCCTTATGTTCCCCCTTCATTTTAAAAACTATAACTCTTCGGGCCAGAATGCTTTCAAAACACAATTACCTTTTGAATTGTCCAGAAAAGTCTAATTTATAGACAGGAAGTAGATTAGTAGTTGCCTGGGGATGGTGGGAAAAGTGGGGCGAGCTAGGGAATGACTACAAATGGGCATGAAGTTTCCTTCTGGAATGATGAAAATGTTCTAAAATTAGAATGTGTTGATGGTTGCATAACTCTGTAAATTTGCTAAAAATCCATTGAATTGTGCACTTAAAATGAGTGAATTTATGGTCTGTAAATTGTATTTCAGTAAAATTGTTAAAACTCTTAAGTCCAGAAATTGACAAGTAAACAGAATCTTAATTATTAATATATTAATATTCCTTTCATGCTGGACAATACAGCTGACTATTAATCATGACATACATTCCTACCTGTAAGTATATAGTCATAAATCTAGTATATTTCTTAACGAAGGATATGTATAGTAAAGCTCAGTGAATTTCTAGTGTCATTCATAAGTTCTAATCCTCTAGAGTTCATTTTTTTTTATAAAGATTTTATTGGGGGAGAGTAACAGCATGGAGAATTGGGGAAGGGGAACAGACAAGTTGCTGTCCTATTTTGTTCTTCAGTCAAGTTGTGGAGGATGTCACTTCATTAGTCCATGTTGGTATTATCATTGCGCTCTTCCCGGCTGAGGCACTTGCTTACCGGCCATTGGATGGCCGCTCATGGCGGCTCTTGGCAGCTCATGAAAGCTCACGCCAGCTGCCAGCCAGCCCCACTGAAGCCTACGCCATTGCTGGTGGCTCACAGCGGCTCACGGCAGCTCATGCTGGCTGCTGGACACTCACAGTAGCTCACGGCAGCCCACTGCAGTCCCCGCTGCAGCCTACGCCATCGCCAGCGACTCATGCCAGCCCAGCTCCAGGTCGAGCTGTTGTTGTTCACCATCTTAGCTATAGAGGGCGCAGTGTCACTGGCCCTTATATGGGATCCCAACCCCGGTTCTGCTGCTCAGAGTTGGCCGTCCCAAGCCAGCTCTTAACCAATGCGCCACTAGGCCGGCCCTCCTCTAGAGTTCTTTTTTTTAAAGATTTTTATTGGGGAATTGGGGGGGATGGGAACAGTGCTGGGGAATTGGGGAAGGGGAACAGACAAGTTGCTGTCGTTTTGTTCTTNAAGATCATATTAAGGCTGCTGCTGCTTGGGCCTTGGGACAGATTGGGAGACACACTCCGGAGCATGCGCGGGCTGTGGCAGTCACAAATATTTTGCCAGTTCTGCTTTCTTTGTACATGTCAACAGAAAGCTCTGAGGATCTTCAAGTAAAAGTAAGTGCTTAATTCTTAACTGTTTATGAAGATTCGTTAGATTTTGACTCATTCTTAAAAATATGTAATTTAAAATATTCTCATTTTTATTATGGATAATAAATATTGCTTTTATGAGTCAAGAAATACAAATTTATCAGAAGTATTGAGGTGACTCTCCTTTGAAAACGGATTACCCTTGTCTTAAAAATCAGTGATATATTTTAAAGAAAGTTCCCTGCTAGTACAAAGTTGTGTGAAAAATAATGTCTGGTTGTTGCCTTCTACACTTCTGCTGACTTCTTTTAAAGAATAGAAACTGAAGAATAATAGAATTTTGGGGTTGGAATTGGCTGGAGAGAACTTTAGTCCATTTTACATTAAAAAACTGAGTCTAAAAGAATTTAAGATGCTTTCAAATGTGTAATGTAACTGGTAGAGGGTACTCCAGAAGCCATGATCTACCTCTCCTAATTCCAAGTCTGTCTTGTCTTTTAATTATGTATTTCATATTTGTTCCTTAAAACAAAAACATAAGATTTACTAAATTAAACATTTTTAAATATACAGGTTTTTTTTAAAAATCAAGCTTTCTGAAAAAAATATTACTAGTTACTAAAATGATTCACAAAGCAGGAATATAAAGTAGGATGGGTTTAATAATTATAGGATTTCAAAAAAAGAAAAACATGTTTCCTAGCATACTGCCTAATTAGGAAACATGTAACTTTTTTTTTTTAATTTTATTGGGGAACAGCCATAGTCATTGGTTCCACATTGCTTTCATGCTACAATGGCATAGTTGACTTTTAGGCACGTCACAGCTCACAGTGGCCCATGCAGGGATCGTACTGGCAACCTTGGTGTTATCAGTACCACGCTCTAACCAACTGAGCTAACTGGTCACCATGAAACATGTAACTTTTTGAAAGCTGCTTTTAAAATTGACTGGGATTGAAAGAAGTGCACAGAAAAGGCAATAATTCAAAATAAAATGAACAACAATAAGTTGTTATATTTAAATTTTAATTAAAACAATAAGCAAATAAGAAAATACAGTTGCTGAAACAACTTTAGATGATATAACGAGGCAGGAAGTTCATTAGAACTGTATAGTTCAGGGACTCTGCAAGTTATAGATAGTGAATCATTTATTAATTATCAATTTATATATTTATACATTTTAAATTTTGTAAAAGTGAATTTATGTATATTTGGTTATGTTTACATGTTATTTCTCTACAAATCCTTTCCAGATCAAAGCAATAATTTGATAGATTTAGGGCTTCCCTTATATTTCTCTGATGTTGAATGCATTCCTTGGCAATGATGCTTGGTAGGGAGACTAAGATTGACAATGTGCTAAAATCTTCCCCCATTTAACAGTTCTGTGATTCTTTGACTTCCTGGTTGAGAAACCACAACCCCATTTGCACTTTTGAGTTGCCCAGTACAGTTGATTTCCATATATATAATTTTAACCTATGTATGTAGTTCTCTATTGGCCTCAAGTTTCTTTAACCCATTATCGTTACTGTCTTTTCTTCCACTCTCTTCAATCCCCTCCCTAAATTCCTCTTCTTTCCTCTTCCCTCCTCCTTATCTCTTTCTCCCTTGCCCCTTGCCTCTAGTGATCCAATGACTCTGGCCTTCTCTGCAGGGTCTCTACAGGCATAAACTGTGCTGCCCAGACTATAATAGTAATTATGTTCAATTTCTAGATTATCAACAGATATATTATTACTATCCTTAAAAAAAAGCTTCTATCTCTTTCAGATTTCTGCACTTAACAACTGTTATTTTCCTTTCAGTTTTGGAAATATAGGAATATATGCGCTACAGCACAAATAATCAGTAGTGGAGTCAATAGTAATTATAGCTGAGAAACCCTTGCAAATAGTCTCAGGTAGCACTATGTACTTTTCATATACTACCAGGTTCATATAACTTAGTTTTTAATGAATTATTATGATGTTAATAAATATAAATATCACTGCAATAAAATAAGTTTGAAAACTTCACTCCTTAAAGTAAGAGAATTTTTATTGTGTTTTATTTTAACAAAGGTGGTTTTACTAAAACATTTAGGTTTACTGATAGAAGTTAAGGTTCTTTCTGCCTACATTTGATACACTATTTACTTTCAGGAAATACAGTGAGTATTAAATTAAAAAGTGGGATCTTTATCAATCATTGTCTTGTTAGCAATCTTTCCAAGGCTTTAAGTCCATCCAAATATTTTCTTATTGTAGGTACTTGATCATTTTTTTTTTCTTCCCTAAGATCTTTTGGATTCTAGCAGTTGTTTTAGAGGCTTTAGGATAAAAGTCCAAGTCTGTTTGATTTGACACTATCTCAGTAGGGAAAATGCATTCAAGAGCTTCAGGAACTATCTATTTAATGGTATTTCTCATTTGTTACTCTGTAGGAGCTTTCACGTTATAAGGCCATGTTGAAGTCCATGTTGTCTCCAAAGCATGTCAGCTTCTATAAGCATGCTCTAATTTGTTCTGATCCAGGAGAACCAATGAGCCACCCCTTGGAATTCCTTGCATATTTTCACATAGCCTTCCTATCTGCCTGTGCCCATGTTATTTCAAATACGTTATTAAAAATTGAAAGAATAAATCTTTTATCTAATAAGCTTACCTACATATAGTTTGAAAATGTTAGTTTGTTATTTGAATAAGTTCATTCTATCACCTTAGTTATAAAACGTTTTCTAAGTTAATTATTTGATTTAGTTATTGTATTCTCATCATCATGGTTGTTCCCCTTAACTTTTTAGCAGCTTTATTGAAATATAATTCATATACCATATAATTTATCCATTTAAAGTGTACAATTCAATGGCTTTTAGTATATTCACAGAGTTGTGCAACAATCACTGCAATCTAATTTTAGAACCATTTCATTCCCCCATTAGCAGTATCTTCCCTGCTTAACCCCAGGCAAACATTAATCTACTTACTGTCTCTGTGTGTTTGTCTCTTCTGAACATTTAAATGGGATTGTACAATATACCGTATTTGCCGGCGTATAAGACGACTTTTTGGGCCTGAAAAATATGCCTCCAAGTGGGGGGTCGTCTTATACGCCAGGTACACTTCAGATAGACTGCCCATAGTGCTTGCCCCGTGCCATAGTGGCCTCCCG